TGAAGATAACCACAACTAAAGAGATGTTATTATTATGGAACACTTATCGGGAAAATGTTGTAAAGGTTAGTACTTTTTCTTGTCCATGGCTAATATCACGCAGTGTTGGATGATATTTTGATTTAGTAAGCATCTTCAAGAAATGCCAGTGAATACAGAGCATTCAACTTACAGATACTAAATGAAATTTCTTTTTCAGATGCAGTCAGAAATGTCTAGTCTGGAGACAGACTTTTGTCCATTATTAAGAGGAGATCCAGCTGATCCAGAAGATATAGCTAATACTCTTGATCAGAGGTTGAGTGTTTATGTATCAGCTGTGAAGAAAACTCAGGAGGATATTCAGAATATGATGACAAGAGCAGAAGTGATGTCATATAAAGGTAAGAGTATTATTGGTTCATTGCCTTTTTTTAAATGGGATAGAATATTTGTCCAAATTGTAGGCTACAGATCAAATAGAAGTAGCATGTATAATAACAGGATATGCCTAATAAGTGATAAATGTTGAAAGGATGTTTACGAATTTACAAAGGAAAATAAGCAATCTAAATATATGTAGAAATACTAAAAGGATCAAAGTAAGATTTATTTACATCATGAATCTGGAAAATACATAATGAGCATTTAGCATAGCGTTGTATTTTGCATGAAATAGCATCATGTTAAAAAAAGCTATTGTATAAGTGGATTTCTCTGAAGAAGCATTAATTTACAGGTGATCAAGGTGGTCAGCGAGATGAAGTTATTGGAGCCCTTCTGCAGCTTTATCAGAATCTGCAGAACAAAGCCACAGAATACCAAATTTTGGGACACATGCTAATCCAGTGGTGCAGAAATATAGCTGAGGTTAGATGTTCTCTTAGTTTGTGTTTTGAGTCTTAAATGAACTATTTTGTTATGAATATGTTATATATCAATTTTACTACCTATAGTATATCAAATTTATTTTGTTCATATACAGATTCACCGATCTTGTGACAAACTGGAGTCACAATTTGGTAATGTCAGCCTTGATATTGGAGGTATAGAAGGTCAGCTTTTGGAACATGAGGCTTCCAAACAAGCTGTTCTGGAATTGCTCAAATTTGCTCAAAATGAATCAACAAGTATTGTGACTAAGATCAAGGAACAGGTGTGTAATTTAAGTATTTAGGGTGCTGTTCTCAGATCATTGATTTGATAATTAAATGATTTTTTAAAATTTTATAGATGTAAAAATGTATTGTTTTCAACATTATGTGTCTTAATTTCAATAATTATTGGTTCTGATTTTTAGTGTCCCCCTGATGCCGGAGCAAAGGATATTGGCATGATCAATGAAATGTTGGAAAGACGTGGCAGAGTCTTTGAAACGGTATGGTCCCATCACCAACAAATGCTTGAAAGGCAACTCAAGCGTTCGCAATATCATGTTGATTTACAGGTTTGTAAACAATTCACCTTTTTATTATGGAGTGTATGGTGCTGTACTATTGCATTGTAATACTTCATGTTATGAAAATATATTCTTGTTATTATTTTGATTAAAATTAAATGACCCTATGTAATTGGATTGAAAAAAAAAATTACAGGTAATCAGCGACCAGCTTCGTGATTTAAGTGAACAACTAGGTCGCATGCGAGGTCATTATGGTGACTCCCTGGCTGCTGCCAAGAACATGCAGACTGCATTCACACAGTTCAAGATCACTGTTGATGTAAGTAAATCTTGATATACAGTATGGAAGGATATAGGTATACATGAGTAGCCTATGAGTTTGAAATAAAAATGTAATCATTTATAAACACTACTCATCTTTAATTTTTTTATTTAATCTTCCCCTCCAGATGTTAGAAAGACGTATCCAAACATTTGTAAGTACAGCTGTTAAAATGCTTGGACAAGAGGATGACTCAGGTGAAGTGCAGCAGGAACTTGCTGAGTTGGAGAAGAAATGGTCTACTTTCCAGAGGCAGGTTGGGGAGTCAGAGAAGTCTATTGAACTGTCTATTGACTTCTTCAAACTTGTTGAGGAGGTAAGATGTGTTCTTAAATAAATGGATAGGTATGAGACTATATATTCAAAAGATATTATATATTTTCAGTGAAAATATTCATTTATTATATTTTATTGGTTTTATAATGCTTCAGCTTTCTCACTTTCACCATATTTTTCTTTTTAGGCTGAAGATTGGTTTAAGAATGGAAGTAAACTCCTGGTAACTGTAGCCGGTGAATCATCTAACATCCAAAACCCAGATCAAGCTCAGAAACTTAGGAAACGTATTGAGCACTTCTTGCAGCCAGGAGAGCAGGCTCAAGCAGAGAGAATCACAAAGATATCCTCACTTGCCCTTCAACTGTATGGATCAGCTACTCCCAGACAGGTACTTCTTTTAAAGTATTCTTATTGTAAATCCATTTAATGTGACGTGAAGGTTACAGTTCTGATGTTGTATGAGAAATTTATTTGTAAATGGAAATGCATGTCAGAAGTTTTAAGCACTAAATAAATATATATACATTTTTTCAGATCGAAGTTGTATCTCACCAGAATACACACATGCTTGAAAGCTTTAATGTTATCAACCGTAACCTTGAAATGCTGATTATAAACCTGAAAAATGCAGAAGATCTTAGAGAAAAGCAGAAGAAGGTGGGTTTCACTTTTAGTCACACATAAAAGCATGAGACATCCAGTGTTAGGAATAATGATTTATGAAAAATGTATTCATATTACCATGATACTGACCATTCTTTTTTATATTATTTTTATATCTTGTCCATATTTATAGGAAAAGGAAGAACTTGCTGCTTCACTCACAGCTGCTCAGGCTGAAGCTGAGGCAGCAAGGCTGAGAGCAGCTGCAGCAGAAGAAGCTAGAAGGGCTGCAGAGGAGGTGGCAAGAACAATGGCCATACCTGTAGAGCCTATTGTTCCAGAAAAGGTAAAATTTTGATGTCATACATATATATATTATATGTATAATGATTGAGAAAAAATATAGATATATGTTTGTATCTCTCTACATACATACATACATATATGCATACATATATACATAATTACAAACAGAGTATAGTAATAGATTCATAAATATACCATATTCCTAAAATGCATACATACATTCATAACTATATACATATATACATAACTGCAAACAGAGTTTAGTAATAGATTCATCAATATACCATATCCCTGAAATTTTCTCTCTCATCAGGTTGAGATTGAGATCCAGACAGAAGCCATCCCCCTGCCACCTGAGGAGCCCCGAAAGCCAGAGGAAACACCACCTGCCAAGAAAGCCAAGCTGATCGATGACGAACCACAGCACATGCCTCCAGTCTTCATGACACCACTCGTGGGAGCCTCAGTCTCGGAGGGAGTCAAATTCTCCTTTGAGTGCAGGTATGAAATTTTGGGTTTCATATAGTGTCATTACAGAATGTTAAGTATATAAAGTTCAAAGATCGAGTTACATTATTCAGGTGATTCCTGTACTTTAATAAGATGAATTCACCGAAAATACTAAATATTAGTTCTTATTACATTATATTATATTCAGGTAAATTCTTTGTATTTAAATCTTTTGAATTGTTCATTACAAGCAACTAAAACAGCTGAATATTTGGTATGTCTTTTTGATACAGGGTTATTGGATTTCCAATGCCTGAGGTTGAATGGCTCAAGGACAATATGAGCATCTCTGGAAACCCAGATTATAAAACAAGCTTTGAAGAAGGTATATGTACTCTTACTATCGAAGAAACATTCACTGAGGACTCTGCCCTTTTCACATGTAAGGCAGTTAATGCTGCTGGTATGGCAGAAACATCTGCAACACTCACAGTTAAAGGTGTGTTTGTTTTAACTTTCTCATCTTTGTAATATTTTTATTCACTGATGTTTATGCATGTATATGTGAATATGCATAATGCACAGTAATAGATATGTGTATGAAATTTTACTTAACAGAAGCAGAGGCAGTGGAGGTGATGGCACCACCATTATTCACAAAGAGACTTATAGATTCAGCAGCTGAAGAAGGCTCATCATATCAGCTTGAGGCAACTGTAGAAGGTCATCCTCTCCCAGTTGTTTCTTGGTCAAAGGATGGAAAATGTGTGGATGAATCTCCTGATTATGTCATTACCTTCAACAATGGTGAATGTGTGCTCAGATTTGAGGAAGTCTTTGTGGAGGATCAAGCTGAGTACCAATGCAGAGCTTCCAATGATCTGGGTGAAGATATTACTAAAGCCAGGCTTACTGTCACAGGTAATTTTTTCCCTTTCACTCTCACAGTTCACTTTATACAATATAACATTTTTCTTGTTTCAATCAGTGTAACAATAGCATAATGAAAATTTTGTCAGTTTATGCGTATATTTCCCTCTCATACAGCGGTGGAACTCTCTGAACGGCCAAAGTTCACAATGCTCTTGAGCAATGTGATGGCAAGGGCTGGACAGAAGTTTAAATTGGAATGCCAGGTTACAGGGAACCCAACTCCTACTATCACCTGGTTCCACAACAACAAACCAGTCAAGGAAACACCAGACTGTAGGGTAAGAATATTGCTATTATAATTGTAATTACCCAGTGATATTTCTTGGTTTGTTGCAAATGTCATTTATTTATAATCAAGAATTCTGCCAGGGTATTTACATAATGACTGATCTATTTACTTTTTCCAGTTGACATTTGATGGTCAAACAGCCACTTTAGTGATGTCTGAAGCCTTCCCTAAGAATGCTGGCACTTACACTGTTGTGGCAAAGAACTCTGCTGGAGAAGCTCAGTGCTCAGCAAATGTGTCTGTAAAGGTAATGTTCTCATACAGCCAAGCAGGAAATTACTTTATATTCTATACTCTGATTGTAGATCCTTTTGAGAAATTCATGTTCTTTCTTGAAAAACTGTACTTAAAAATGATTTTCTTCCTTTAACTAATGCTTTCTTTTTTCATGCAAACGATGTTCATATATAGAGGCATTTACTCATTATGGTAAAACTTTCTTTTTGACTGATATATCATCAGAAAATTCATATAGCAATAGTTTGAAAAATTGTATGAAGTATATTGAATAACATGATATTTGTTATTAAATGAAATACTGATACCTTTACCAACAGTATAAGTAAACCTTGCATTGATATATTATACTGTAAGCCTTGTATTGATATATAAAGATGTGCTTCAGCATCAGAATAATTATCCATAATTCTTCAGGGTCGCATTCCAACTGAGACAAGTGACTCTGAGGTGGCATCAGACATAGATGCAGAACCAGTAAAGCCTTCAGTACAACTTCCCTTGAAAGATACCAGCATACAAGAAGGGAGGCCAGCCCGTCTTGACTGTGTTATTGTTGGTCAGCCTGAGCCAGAGGTAAAACATTAATTTAGTGATTTCTAATATCTTGTAAAACCTGATATAGTTTGTGATGTATTTCATGTATTTCACTTGTTAAGTATTGAGTCTGTGTTGAATATGAAAAATATTTTAACTGTGTGATTTATATTCATTTGTGACATTTGTGATATTTATTTACTATAGGTTATTTGGTACCATGATGACAAGCCTGTTAAAGAGTCCAATGACTTCAAATTGCTGTTTCATGGTGATCGTTGTTCTCTGATAATACAAGAAGCATTCTTGGAGGATGCTGGCATATACAGGGTAGTTGCAATGAACTCTGCTGGTGAGGCATCAACTGCATGTTTCCTTAATGTAGAACGTGAGTATTTTTTTAATACAATCTACATAATTCATGATTATTACTTTTTTTTATATGGATTATACATTTATTACACCTGTTTGATATATATTTTTTTTTTGTACTATGTTCCACAACACATGTCTGAAGCTGTAATAGATGACAAAAGATCATTCTTCTTGATGTTAGGTAATTTCTTAATATGATATTTAACAATTACTTATTATAGTTATCAGGTTGAGCTTAATGCTTATGAGTTAAAAACATAGGAGTCTATATTTTAAAATCATATAGATCTGTAAGACAGCTTCTTTGAGTATTTTGAGTTTGCAAAAATCGTGTTTCTTTCCAATTAATGTAGAATTGTTAGTTTTAGATTGCATTATTTTTTGTTCTGTTTTACTGTTGCACCTATTCACATTGATTGACAGCTGTTCCTGAACTGGCACCACCATCTGAACCAGAAGCTCCCACTGTGGCACCTCGTTTCTCTCAACTGTTGACAGACAGTCATGTCACAGAAGGAAAACCAATCACTCTTCGTGCTTCAGTGACTGGCGAGCCAGCTCCTACCATAGCATGGTTTAAGGATGGTGTGCCACTTCTTCCTGATAATGAGTTCCAGGTAATTTGCAGGGCATGTGATTAATTATAAATATCTTGGTATTTCTTATATTTCATATCAAGTTCTGTGAATTGTTTTAGAGAAAAAATATATATCTTGCTGTTATGAAAGTACGTTTATCTTTGATAGCAAATCTCTACCTTAAATTACATTTTTCTGTATTCCCCAGATCCAGGAGAATCGAGATGGTAGTCTCATTGTTCATATTAATGCTGCAACACTTGACCACACTGGACAGTATGAAATAGTTGCATCCAATGCAGCAGGGACAGCAAAGTGTGTGGCTTATCTGAGCATAGAACCTCGTCTCCCAACACCTCCACCTCCAGAGCACAGGGAACCTCCTGTCTTTACCAAACTCATTCAAGATGTGACGGTGACATCTGGAAGTGGTGTCATATTTGAAGCTGAGGTTACAGGGGTCCCAAAGCCTACGGTGAGTGGTCATGAGTGTTCGATCCAGGAACTTATCAAAGATGTTTGCGATTTCAGATCTGAATATGATGATTCTGTCAATGGGGTACTGAATGACAGACCACACGATAAAGAGGCATGTCACGTATTTGAAAGTTCATCAGAAGTTGGAAATAATGAAGCATTAAATAATTTTAACATAATAAAGGATGAGACAACCAGTGCAACTACAAATATATTAGCAAATGGAGGGAAAGCACTGCATGATAATGCACAGGATAAAGAGCTGGATTACGTATTAGATGTGTCTGAGGTTGGAAGTTCTGAAGCTTCAGATAATTACAAGTTAGACAAGGATGATACAAATCCTACTGCTTCAAGTATCATGACAAAAGATGAATATATGGATATGGTATCCAGATTTTGCAAGTTACAGTGCACTTCATCATTTGAAGAAAATAACAATGTACCAAATATTGAGGGTCATGAAGACAATAGGTTACCAAACACTGATAACAGCAGTAGTGAATCTATGAAAGAAACTGATCAACCAGGTAATTTTCATGACCTAAGAATTCTAGACTTTGAATCATATTCACGCTTTATGATGGAGAACATTGTTGTGTATGGTTCATTAGAGGATTCAGATGCGTGTGGAGAAGGTCAGTCTTATGACCAGCTGCAGAAATTTGATGATATAAGTGTTATGAATTCTGAAGTTTATTCAGATTTTCTCAAATCACATTTTATATCAGATAAGGAACAAGGGGAACCATCTTACAAGATCTGTTTGAATAGGGATAGTAATGAATTGGATGGTGAAATGGAGATAAAAAGAGAAGAGAAACCTCATACAGATGAATGTTTGTCTGTATCTTCTGATAGTGAGGAAGGCAGCAACCTCCAACCAGCAAAGTTTTTAGATACTGGTATAGAGGAAGATATTCAGCCTGTTAAGCTTGCTGACCTTTGGGATCTGATTAAGGACAGACTGCCAGATTCTAAGAGCCAAGAAGATGATAGTTATCCGAAAAGGCAGAGAACCTTTTCATTTGAGGATGAAACTGAATATAATAGAAAGTCAGTTTCTCAGAGTTCTGATGGAGAATTAGAATCAGGGTATTTCTCTGGTAATTTTTCTAATGCTTCAGGTCCTGAGTCACTTGACTCAGGTGCATCAAAAAGGAGCAGTTACTCCTTGTCGTCAGAAGAAACATCTAAACGAAACAGCATTTGCGAAGATCAAATTATTAATCATGTTAACAAGAGGAAAGGTGTAGATGGAGAGATCCCTGTTGATACCCTGTTCAAAAGTGAATATAAAGAAGATCCAGTGAAGATGCCAACTCAAAGTTCAGAGCCAATGAGACCATATTTAAATACAAGAGATAACATTCTTATTACAGAAAAAGCAGCCCAAACAAGCTCTAAAGATTTTTCCCTGTTTAAAAATAATTCACGTGATAAAACAAAATGGCTGTCAGGCTATGTGTCAGATACAGAATCCTCTGATTCTGATTCAGATAATCCAATATATGTTTTATACAGTGACAAGTATGAAGATGCTAAAACATCAGGTATTGATATATATACAGAGCTACAGAGCATAAGAACATGCTATGGGGTAATGACACCTATAGTAGAGGCAGAAGAAGAAAATCCCCATGATGAAACATCCAAAACTATTAACTCTGATAAGAGAGGAAAGATAAATCCTGAAAAGCTTTTTTCTTCAGAAATGAATTCCTTTGATCATGAAAGATGTTGTAGTGGGCTGTCTGTCATTTCAGAAGAAGGTTCTCTATCTGATTATAGTGAAATACAGAAACATTATACAGTTACAAAGTCAGTAGGTGTAAATACAATTTTAACTGCAAGTGATGTACAGTGGCCTGTTAAAAATATTGGAACAAATCTGGATAATGCTGCTGACATAAATCTGTCTGTGAAAAGTGATGCTGAGAAACAAGCTGAGAGAAAAGCAAGAAGAGCAGCACGTCTTGCAAAATTACGAGAACTTACTAAGATATTAAAAACACCATCCAAAATTTCAGTGTGCAGTAAGCATATTGATGCAGACAGCAAAGAAGATGGAAGTCCACAATCATTCTGTTCAAACCCCAATGCTCCTGATAAAGTAGACATGAAAAATATTAAAGTTACAACAGAGTTCCTTAACTCTTCCTTGCTGAAAAGTTTTGAAACACTTCCACAAAAATCAGAGACAGATTCAGAAATGAAAGGTTATTCATCCGAACCAAATAAAGCCTTTATGTTAATGATCAAAACAAAGGAAAGCTTGTCCCAGCTTGAAATCAAGCGCATTATTGTAGAGAAGTTGAGAGCAGTATTAGAAGCTGGGCAATCACTGATCAGAGCCTATGTATTGCCATTTACGCATGCTATTTTCTTGGATTTTAGCAATCCTTCTGTTATACAGCGTGGTTTGACTCCATTAACACAAGATATATTACCTAATATGGTATTTGAAGTGTGTCTTCATGCCACTAGAGGTCAAGGAACCATATTAGATGGTGAATGTACTGATCCTAATACACCTGGCATAATTCAAGCTGGATATTATTTGATTTATGTCTTGTATTACAAAGACGAAGATAGAACATAGGAATTTCGTAAGTCTTCAATAGCTAGTCGGGTAATATAGGGAAATATTAGATAGTAATTAAATTTGTATATTTCCCTTTAATCTATTCAGAAAATTAGTAGAATGAAAGATAATGATCTAGATTTGCCTTGTATAAATCAAATTGTCGGCCTGTTATAAATTGATGGGCTACAGTGTTCTTTATATGTAGTAGTGACCAACAATAATGTTAGAAACCACTGTTGTAGAACAGAACGCTAATAAAATTAGTGGTAATTTTCCTTCTTTTATGGCCATGAGTGGACTTCTTTTTTCAAAATGAAATAATGCTGTAAATAATACAACAGTACTAACGTGTAAGTGAAAAGAAGGATTTAGATTCACCTGCATCATTAAGAATGTTTCATGGCTTTCTTATTTGTTAATGTCAATGTCATAATGATTTTTTAACTGTACTTTTAAGAGCAACAGAGTAAGGTAAATATTAAATGAAACAAGTGAGCATATCCCTCATTTTATTTTAAAACAAATACTGTAACAAGTATGCTTAAACCTAGTTACAAAAAATAAGTACAGCAGTTAAGGACAATATATAAAACATGTCAATAAGAACTCCAGAAATTTTAAGTAAATCCTTGATAAAATAAGTGCCTTAAGGAAGTCATAAAGCTCATGCAGACTCCATGAACATCATCCTTAAATGAATACATAAAATGTTTTTCGCTCTCAACCAGATATAACTCTTACATACAGTATTCATAGGACTCTCAATGGAATACATATTACATTCAAGTACTTATGAATTGAACACAATTATAAAGACTGAATGGGGACACCACAGTATCATTAGCATAAAATTATGATATCAGTGTTGCTTATAATAACTCCTCAGAGAAATTGTAGAAACCCTAGAAGACAATAAAAACAATATCATTAAAAAGTAAATGCTAACAATAATCATGTGTAATATACTCAATGAAAGACTCTTGTTTACGTTATGATACTCATATCAATGTTCTCCTAGGTATACTGGACACTGAATGACTGCCATCTCACTGGTCAAGAATATTTACATGGACAACTGCAATATCTTATTGGCAACCGAGGAAGTGTCCATTCTCTGGAGTTACCTACAACATCCAAACTTCAAGCAGGTATCATCACTATTGTTGCAGAAAATGCTGCAGGAAAAGCAGTATCTGCAGCAGCTCTTAAAATTCTAGGTGAGTAAACACACTTTTTATATCTGTTATTAATCCTGTTATCATACCCTTTAAGTAACCATCCTAACACTGTACAACATTTTTATTCTAACCCAAAGATACATATATCCTTCATTTAGGTATGCTCAGTTACAAGTCAGAGCAAAGCATACCAGTGGTCCCATAGGACACTGGAAAATGATCATGATGTTCATTAATCACATTATGTATATTTTGACCTGTAGATTCCATTATAGCAGATAGAGGTGATTCGTTTCACATTAAAATGCAATAAATGCAAATGAGGGTACATACAACCTTTAAGGGATATGGATATAATATATGATTCCTAATTGAAATAGGCATTTTATATAAACATAGGTAATTACCAGTCCTTAATATTCTGATATATGAAACAAATACATGGATTGTCAAAATGCAGTCAGATTTTGTTCCCAGTCAACAGGAACTTATTGCTGCCTGATAAATATTTTGAGATATGTTACCAGATAACTTTTAAAATGAAAATTATGGGTACTTAATATTGGCAATGTACAATTAGTCACCCAAAACAGAAAATGCATACATAACACATGTCATACCCAGGTTCTATGTTTGGCCTGTAATCATTTGGCAATTTGTTAAGCTGCAGCTGATTAAGTGCATCTTATTTATAATGATGAGTAAGAAGACCTTTAATTCAGATGTGCAATCTTTGTGGAGTCACAAAGTAACCATTATTTTAACAGTGTTATATATATGTATTTAATGGGAGAAATGTCATTTAAACTACTACATTACTTATATACAACTTCTATAATATTCGTGAGAGAGGTAAGTCATGAACCTTTCTTAATAAATAAGTTGCATTATAGAAAAATATAATGCTTTATAGATTTGGCTTTAGAAATTACTTTTTTACTATGGACATGCAACAATAATATTAAGTTCGATAACCTATGCATGAAGGTAAGGAGAGTTAGTACAAGTGGTATTTAATATCTAGTGAGAATGGGGTTGTGGGTCTATAATAAAGAGGTTAATTCAGATGGAAAGCTAAACCTGCAAGACCAATTTATGCAGACTATGGTTGATTTCTCTTATGGGTATACACATGTTGAGGTAGTAAATAACTGTCTACAGTGATTTTAATTATATACAAATTACCAATATTATGTAATCACATGCCTAAGCTATCACAAATTTGGTCCATAACTTGAAGGGAAACTCATAAGGCCCTGATGATGCCAGATCGATGGTAATTATAAAACTATCACGTTTACTTGTATCACAATAAGTACATGAAACATTTCATTACATTAATATTTACTAAGATGAAACTTGGTCATGACAAATAATGATCATTGTCTAGAGGCTATCACCACAGCTGCCACACAGCCAAAGCTCATCCAAGTGTCTGTAAGGAATTGTGCAACTCTACTGTTCCAAACATTCCTCCCCATGGATGCTAAATTTTTGTTGAAATAAAGAGTAAGGGCGAGACACTGAGCAGCGCCCACCAAACCATACCTCGAGACATCCACTGCGCCTTCATCCAGCATCTCATTCACAGCCAACATACCAGTGTGAAGGCAGACATGTTTCAAGGTGGATTTAGTTGAAGAGGAACTTGGGCGACAGAAAAGTTTATACTCATTGGCAGCAACCGAAACTGTGTGCTTGTTCAACATTTGGGCTAGGCTTTTCAAAATTTTGTCTTTATCTCCAGCTAAAGTACTGTTCAATCCTTTTACAAAGAGCACATATACAGATTCGTCGTCTTCTCTGTGGGGTATGCTGCCGATGTTTTCAGATTTTTCGTCATTATCAACACTTTTTGCTTTCCGAGACGACCCTCTACGGTTCTGTAGGTGCGAGCGTAATCCAGAACTCGCATGGTCTTCATTTGATTCTTGCAAGAGATAGTCAAAACTTTGCAACTTATGCAAG